GTGTAGCTACCACTTTTCATGAATGGAGAACAGTTTTAAGCCTTCTGCTCCATTCAACCCTCTAAGATGAGAAAGCAGGTTTTGTGTTCATAACATGGCCCAACATGGCTGACTCAGAAAAGACGGTTTTCTAGCGCAATTAATTCACATATATGCTAAAGGTTGGCACAACCACCCAAAACATTTGATGTTAACGGGTTCCTTTTATTATCTTTGTAATGGAAGACTCAAATTTTACCAAAAAGAGAAAAAGCCTGCAGTATCTGCATAGGATGTAACACCTGTCTTCGCAGTGAAAAGGTTTTAACAAAGGTTATTTTCAATATACTTATTATTGGAATTTAACTTCTATTCACTCTTGTAACAATAACAAATTTAAATTTATGTACTGCATTTACAGTCACTATGAAACTTTCAAGCCATGTAATGCCTACTGAATAAGCTTAAGCCAATTTTATTAGAAGAAAAATACCAATTTGGTGAAAAATTCTCATATCTCGTGGGATTACACTGAGAATTCTCAATGTCAAAGTGGGGTCCTTTTTACATTGCAATAAATAAAAAAAAACTCCGTGATTTTAGTCCGCAAATGAACTATACCGACCAAGAGACCACCACTTGTTGGCGATGTTTAGTGCCAACTTTTGCGGATAGAGGGTGCCACGTGGTCAGCGCAATGAATCCCCATGGCCGTTAATTTCGGTTTTCTAGACTGGAGCCGCTATTTCCTTGAAACAGCTCCTCAATTATCATCACGGGGCTGAGTGGACCCCGTTCCAGACCCACTACTTCTCAGAAAAAATCCGGTAGCGCCGGGAATCGAACCCAGACCTCTGGATCTGTAGCCAGGAACTCTGACCACAGAGGCAGTCCATTGTGATAAATATGCACTGAAAAGCAACAAAAAATATAAGTCAACTATAATGTGACTGAAACTAAACTTGCATCTGGATTCAACCTTTAAGATACTCTGTTATACATAAAAAATATAAACAAATATGACAGAGCACTGGCAAGACAAGGAAGGAAGACCTGTCTTGCTGTGTTGGGCATCATGCCTGCATCATGCTGGGCAGGAAGGACAGTGGGTCTACACTCCTACAAAATCAAATCAAAGGAAAGTGCCGTTAATTAACAGGATTGTGCAAGTAAACACATGCAAGAGCTTGTAACAAAAAATAACATTACCATGTGAAACACAATCCCCCACAGCAACAAGGACAGTTGGCTGTGGGGGCAATTAATGTGGGGTCACAGAGCATGCTACTTAATCACATCACGAGAACTCATTCTGACGATGATAAATAGGATGCAGAGTCAGTAATTTAGGCTCTTGCCACTGAACTGGTACCTGCAGTGACCATACACTAGTCCTGGAGGATCACTACCCTACGTCAGGGATGAAACAGAAGTGTAAAAACATGAAGATGAAAACAAGGTTGTTTTGTGAAAATGGTATCCCCTTGGCACTAATCTGTGACCTTAACAGGAAAATGTAAATTTGGACATCTAGTGACCTATTGTGGTTAAGAAAATGTTGAGAATGACAAAGCCCTTTGAAAAATTAAATTTCTTGTCATCTTCATGTCTTGATGAATTTTAACTGACCCAGTAAGTTACCTTCTCTTATAAGAGTGTGAAATAATACATGCAGAACATTTTTAACATTTAAATATTGTAAATGCAATATACAACTATTTTACAGGGTACAAACATAAACAGCTTACAATGAAAAGAGGCAGATGCACATTCTGTAATACCAAAAACAGAAACTTACTGGGAATTAATGCAACTGTAAGTAATAAAGTAACAGCATTATCCAGGACATGAAAACTTCAATAATCAAATATGTATGTTTATGCTAACCTCGGGATCTTGCCATAATGTAAATAGATTAACATTACCCCTGGGCCGTGCCATAGCTCAAGCAGTTAGCTGCTGGCTTCCCACCGTGGCGGCCTGGGTTCAATCCCGGGGTCTGGTCAAGTGGAATTTGTGGTGGACAAAGTGGTGCTGGGGCAGGTTTTCTCTGAGTACTTCGGTTTTCCCTGGCAATCTTCATTCCACCAATTTCTCCACAATCACCCTCACCTATCATCTGGGGCTGGTACAATAGGCCAGAAATGGCCGCAGTACAAGGGACTTAGTCCCACCCCACTAGCATTAAAAAAACATATGCCCCAAAAAAAGGTATGCACTGGCAGACTCCGCCCTTTCACAATGGTTTGTACATGATTTTGTTTCCATTCTTCATTGATAACATGATGTACTGGTGGGACGATATGTCAATATTTCAGAGACTGTCAAGTTCCCTGATAGGCTGGCAAACCAACTAATCACAACATGGTGCCATCACTGCAGAATGGAAATATGAATTAATTGATGATGGCTAAGCTGTCAATGCACAGCCAGCAGCTTAGCCTCAAGGCTACTGGGGCAATGCCCACTCCGGCCCACTACCTGCTGGCCCATCTTCACAGACCCTACCCCTCTCCTCTCCATTGATTTACTATGTAGTCCACTCGCCCTCCCTTCCTGTTCTTATACAGCTGGATGTTTTCAACTGATGACTCAGCCTGCAGCCACCTGTTCATGCTGGTTCCTCACTCATGGATTTTTCTGCCCTGAAGAAGGAGGCGATATGTTCCTCCAAAACATCGGTTCACACAATATCTACACAGCACAACATCCCAGAATACGGCATTGTTTAAGTGTGGTGTTGTATAGTATATACAGTTTTTATAAATTGTAATGTGATAGCACTATTACATGCCTAACATCTATTTCCCTTTCAGTATTCCCTTAGCGTCTATTAACTGCCATCTGAGGTGGGGTCATTTTTGTTGGTACAGCTGGATCTTGTAACAGATAACTTGGAATAGAAGTGATTTTTGGTGTACTGAATAAGCAACATGCCTGGTCATATAAATAATTAAACTTACATATTTTGGCTTTTCAATTTTATTTTTAGACATGTCAATAACAATAACTGTCACATTATAAGAACCAATAATATGACAAACTTGAATGAAATAGAATGAAGAAGTACATGATGTTCACAATAATGGAATAGTCTTTGTAGGCATAAATAGAAAATTTAGCTATGTTCTCATTCTTCCTAGAGTATGTGATACGTCAGAAGAAGAACTTGTGGAGAATACTTTAAGCAGAAACAGATAAAGATGCAAAAAAAGTTATCATCTGTGCCATTTGAAAACAGGAAAAATTAGCCCCAAAATTACACGAATCAGTAATTCTTTTAATAGTGCACCAAAGATACAGGGAAATTTACAAAATTAAATTACAATGCCCTTAACACTCCTGACAGAAATGTATGATGACTAAGACCAGTTTAGTTCTACTTTGTGATCACCAAGCAAAATTTTAGGCATGACCCTGAAACTAAAGATGAACAGCTGCCTTAGCAAAACAAAACTCACATTTATATTAACTGCACGTGCATACATATGTACACACACACACAGACACACACACAACTGGCACATTTTAAAGAACACAGTGAACAAAGGGAAATTAGGCTTCAAAAAGGAATAGGGCATCAACTTGCTATACCATCAATAGGAAGACAGACACAAAAAGCATAAGAGCTCTCTCGTACCACATCTGCATACAGATAATAAATTACTTCTGTCATTAGATCAAGGGTAAGACACTGCATAAAATTCCAGCTTTAGATCAGTGGGTTCAGATGCATGTCAGCTTCTATTACTATTTGCATTTAATTAGACAAATGCTCCATATTATCCGTAATGTTATCACGAAAACGAACGATTTGAAATTTACCATGGAATAAAGCGGCCTCCGTAGTCTAGAGGTAACGTTCCCACCTCATGATTCATAGTACGTGGGTTCAAACACCCGGCGGAGGTCGTCATATTTTTAAGGGTGGAAAAATTCAGGGAACAAGTCCTCCGGGAGGGACTTTAAGCCGTGGGTCCCATGTCGTAGCTTTACGGCACGTAAAAGAATCTCATATCTCCAAAGGAGGTCACTGAGCCAAATTACGGACGTTTCCTGCCCAACAGCAGTCTCTAATACCTCTGGTAGATGGGGGAAGCATTATAGATACCTCTCAGCTAGTAGAGCCGGTCTTGCTGGCTGGGCGGGACTGATGGTAAGCACCAGTACCGGTAGGATATAGAGACTGGTAGAATATCATAGAGGGAAGCACAATGGGCCAATACAGGTCTAAGTGCATGGGGAAACCCACCCTCTCCAATAACTAACTAACTACCATGGAATATCTTTAATTAAGTTGATAATAATCTACAACTAAAGCACAACACACCACTGTAGGTCACGGTGCAAGGGCCAAGAAGGCCCACCCCTTATACATTCATTCATTCATCTACAACTACCTTGGAAGTTCAAGAAAAAAATTCCAATATCATAATCAGAAAAATGTACTTTTACTAAAAATTAAAAAAAAATTTCAAGGAATTTTTATGTGTTTTGTCAGTGAATACTAGCAATGAAATGGTTCATCAATGCCACAGAACACTTTTTAAGTTCACACAGATATAGTCTCAACTAATGGAAGCTTGCATGTTGGTTCAAACAGCACAAGCAATTGAGGCCTTCACATGTTTTTTTGTTCCTCACAAACCCTTTTGTGAATAGCATTATTTTGAACACTAGTACATTCTCTTTATACATGAGTCAGTTTCTCCCCATTACATTAATATTTTGTTAATATCCCAGCACCTGTTGAAACTGATTGTGTTACAAGATCATAATTTCAACAATGTGACATCAAACAGTTGATATTTTAAAAACTGGAGAATTTCAAGATCTCTCATAATTTCAAAATAAAACAAATCACGTAATCAATCTGACATTTTGTTCCTTTATTAAATATAAGTTGATCTTATAAACACAATGTACTTAACTTAATGCTGCAAACAAAATCTATAACTCAACTGTTAGGCTATAAGACAGACATGCACTCAAGCAAAAGTCAAGCAAGCAGATTTACCAACCTGGAAGTGAGGCCGAGCTGGAACTAGAGTGTTTATCATATTCATCCGAAGCAGCTGGACAGACACATACACAAGGTACAGTTAGTAACTAACCAGGGAAGTTAATGATGCAGTTAGTATTTGTTAGTTCTAAAACTCAAGTCTGTTAAGTTTTGTGGCAAACATGACTCACTATGCAGTATACAAACAACATTATGAATGTAAAAATGTCTAACCGTTTACTGTGTAAAGTGGGAAGTGTACTTGTTATTTCATGCTGCCTGTCAGCATTTAATTTATTATGCTGAATAGTAAAACCTCCTAAAACATCACAAATCTTCTCTAAAATATCTTCCCTTAAACGCATAGTGAATGATCTGTATCATAAATGTATTCATGGTTCAAGAAACGAAGATATGAATGCACTTGTATTTAACAGCAGTGCTACACAATGTGGTCTAGCAGAATGACACAACTGGCTTGTACTACTGCTCGGTGCATTCCTGTACTATATTTCAGACATGTTAACTAATGATAAATTACACCTTTGTGGGAACATCCCACATTATCACGCATTTCTGCAACGCTCGCTCTTCACATCGCTTTTCACCATCACGCGCGCTAACCAATCTGATTGCTTCAAACGTTCATATTTATACTGGGATCGCTCCTGGCCCGCATCTACGTCATTACGCGCGCTAGCCAATCAATTCTTCCTCCTCACTTTCAAGTTTGGCTCCGCCCCACCGACCAGCGTATAAAAAGGAGCGACTCCAGAGACGAGTTATTCAGTTCAACACATTTCATCATCAGCCTACGAGCTAGCCACATCAAGCAACTTCAGCCAGCAGGCTTCGTCGCCAGCGCTCGGTCTTCGGAGACATCGGCGGGCTGCGCCAGGCACGACTGCCTCGGCTCTCCAGCGCTCTCACACCCGACTCACTGGGGCACTGCGCCTGGACTCGCCGGTGGTCGTGTTACGGTCCGACTCACTGGGCATCTGGCGTAGCCACTGCCTCATGGCTCCTATGACCGCGCTCGACGACTAGCCTTTCTCCTTACTGGCGCGCACTGCGCTACCTCACCGGTCAATCATCTCAGCAGCCACGGTCCTTTTCAGGGCCAACAAACTGTTCCGAAGAAGTGGGTTGTCATCAGAGTAATGACAAGACACACATCGACGACAAGAGCCCCACACCTTCATTTACTTGATAAAATACCTGACATCTGTTACTGTCTTACTCTTATAGTCATGCTGCTGTCAGTAACAGGTGGAAGACAGAAACAGCCTGTTCCTCCAAAACATTTCTATCCACCTACAAAGCTACATACTGTAATGACCCAGAAGTCCACAGTGTGAATGATCAACAATCTGAAAATCTCAAAACAAATACTAGAATAAAGTGTTGTGAATGGTATCAATGAAAACCTTTCATTACAAAAGAAGTCACAAGAAAGAAAATAAACAAAAATAGCTTAAATTGAAAGTTACTGATAATCTGTGGCAAAAACAATCGTCAGGAAATAGTGGGAATTTGGGGTTTCAGGTTAAAACACTTTTTGATTCAATTATGTAACAAATTTAAATTTTAGGTTAAAACTGAAGGTATCGAGAATTAACTCTTATTACGCCCCTTACTAAATGAATGCTGCCCTGAAGTTAGGGACTGACACTCTACTCCACACGAGGACTACCATAAGAATAACAACGATGGTATGGGATGCCAGACACACAGACATGATGAAAACAGGATCTTTCTTTAGTTAATAACTGGTTCTTATATACATGTCAAAGAAAACAGACAACAATCACCTTTCGCTTCATCAGTAGAAACAATTTCCAAGGATTTTCGGAATGTAAGCCAAAATTATTTGCAAGAATCAGTATGAAAATAAAGTTATTAGAACTGCAACTCACACTGGCACTGCATTTAATTAACGCTAGTATTCCACTTTAACATCTATATTACAAAAAGTCACACATAACCTAGCAGATGAGATACTAGCTAACCATCATATCCAACGGCCCAACTCAAATTTGCGCGCGAATAATATATGGTGATTATTCCAACAAATGATGTACTACTTCAAGGAAAGATTTTAAAAAATATTTAAATTATGATGGTGACAATTAAAATACATTATTTTCAAAAATGAATGTCTGGGCAACAAAATACAATAATTAAACTTATTGTTTTCTACAAGACTGCTCCATTTTATCAGCCACTTGCCTTCAGGTAGGCAATGACAACACCCACCCTCCCACTGATACACACCGTATAATAAATTTTAGGCTTGGGTTTCTCTACATTTACTGTCTTACATAGCCCTACATAGTGTCTCATACACACTGTAAGTGGCCTCCATAGTCAAGGGGTAATGTTCCCACCTCATGACTCAAGGTATGCGGGTTCAAACCCAGTGGAGGTCGTGGAATTTTTAAGGGCGGAAAAATTCAGGGAACAAGTCCTCCGGGAGGGACTTTTAAGCCGTGGGTCCCATGTCGTAGATTTACGGCACGTAAAAGATCCTCATGTCTCTGGCAGACCTCTGAGCAAAATTAGGCAACAATTTCCCGCCCAAGTAGTTTCCAATGCCTCTGGTAGATGGGGGAAATATCAGGTACCGACGGCCGACCTCATTGGCTGAACGGGGCTGATAGCACACACCAGTACCGGTAGGGTATGGCGACAGTAGAAATTAAAGGGGGATGCACAATGGACCAATAACTGTTCTAAGTGCATGGGAAAACCCACCCCTTCTAATAATAATAATAATAATAATATACACACACTGTAGCTATGGGTTCTGAACAATCCAGCACATAGCACTAAACAACAAAATAAAGCAAATGACACACACCTTTGCACACACTGTGTGTATGGGTAGTCATAGCAGAAGAGTAAATATTCACACTTTCAAAGCAAGTAAGATTACAAAAGCAAAACATAAAGCAAAACACAGAAGGCAGTCATGGTCTCATTCTATACAGAAACTAAAAAATGTCTTCCTCAATTGTACTATTTCTCATTACTGTGTCCTGTAACTAATATAATCAAGTCAAGGCATCACAAAGAAAAACTCTATTTTAAATAATCTAAATATTTTAATAAAGATTGTGTGATATTACTTCACGGGATTTATATTCATTTTTAAATACAATAAATAGTCACCCTGCTATACACGTCTTTAATGTTACATCATGTATTACTGTTCTAATCTCAACAAACGATTATATAAAACTGCCAACTCCCCAGGCACACAGTCCTCAAAAGACTGACACTACAAATAGCAGTCTCCTGTCAATATATGATGAGCCAGTATCATCAGGTCCTTACAAATTACCTCCCCCAGAGCAACACTGACATCATTATCTCGCTTCCTTCTTGGTCTTTCATGTGGTTTCCCCACCAAAATTATGTATTTCTTATTCAATATTCATATCTAACCATCATTAATACCTTGACTTCTTGCCTGAAAATACTAGGTGAAATCAAAACGTTCTCATCTCTGTATTATCCTCCAGTCCGTCCTTATGTCCAAATACTTCCCCTAGCACTTTCTTTTCAAACGTTTGCACACCTGCACAAATTCCAGTATATATGTTCACCTTGACTTCAGCATTCTGAAATCATTACAGTTTACTTATGAAAGCCTGAGGGCCAAGTAATGAAGGAAACTCCACACATAGTAAATACATACCATTCCGATAGTTGGCATCCCTTGCAGAGGCAGGCGGTGGTACCTGAAGGTATTCACGCGGTGTCGGAGTCTGGGTGAGAGCCTTCTGTACTAGACCCGTCAGGTTCGCCAACTGCCGCTCCATGTGTTCCACACGAATCCTAGAGTCAGCACACAATCTGTTACTGTAACTTCAACAACAGAAATAGAATATGTTGCCAAAAATCCTCATGCTGGGATTTGAACCCAGAATGCAGCAATGCAGCAAATATTATTATGTCCAGGCTGTGCAAGAAAGCAAAAGACTTGCTCAAGAATGTTAGTACATCCTTGCGCACACACACACACACACACACACACACATACACAGCATGGCAACTGACAATTTGTTAAAATGATAGGCACCACCACATTTATACTCCTACAGCCCTGCAGTTTCACACAGAAGTGCTTAGTACACATGTAAAATATCAGATGATAGGAGATTATGGCTACCTGCTCTGCATGGCATGCACAGCAGAACCATCTGTCAATTTAAATCCCACCCAGGGATGACATATACTGGCTCTTCTCAGCCTAATCCCCCAGGTAAATGCTGACACATGACTACAGAAATTCACATTATTTTCAACCATCATTCATTAGCACCATGTAATTTCCTGTTTAACCTATACAACCAAACAGCCAATAAAGTGTAATTAAAGAAAGGCAAACTTTTTACCTTACGAGTAGATCTATTTGGGATGTGATGAAAGAACAAATAAAATCTGGCACAGGAGAAATTGGAAAACATGAGCATCTCAATTATTGGTAATTAAAAATGAAATATGATAAATTGAGTAAGATATTATCTGACAATTATTCAATGCTTATTTTTGTTATCATCTATATTATTCTCTGTAAAAACATAATTTTCTTGTGTGACCTGGTGTAACTGCCGAATGTGCACTAAGAGTAAAACAGCTGTGATAAGAAATTTTCCCAGCCTGTCTCACTATTATTATGCCATTTCACAATTTCTGGATACAGCTGGCTCTCATTATATGATGCATCATTATATGGTGGCCTTCAACCCCCCCCCCCCATACTACATGTGTTTTATATCATACAAATTTCTATTAAATGTTCTGGACACAATATAAAAGTGTACCACAATGTTCCTTACTTTAGTTTGCATGTACAGAGGGGTAAAAACCATAGTCCATTGTGAATAAGTTGTATGTCTCCAGCATCCCTAATCCTGGAATTATTTTATTCACACAAAGAAACTGAAGGAGCACCCCTTTTACCTGTTCAACCATAGTCTGAAATGTACTTCAAATTTCAAGTACATATTTTAAGTCATTCCATAAACACTGTACACATAACAACATGGATTCCAAAATTGGATAAATTTCAAATTCAATCAAAGTGTACCTTATAATATGTGTGCTGAAGCTGTCCCACAGAATCCACTTTATACTGTGGATATACTATTGTAGTACATGTTTATCGATCCCAATACATGCATATGAAAAATAAGTACCTAACAACATTAAAATTTGGTGTATTACAGAAAACTATGGTGAAAATCTACAGATTCTTTATAGCATCTTCTGATATCTTCACAGCAGTATGTCTGTCTCCGTCTGTCTGTCAATCTGTCAGTATAAAACAAACACCATCAGGCTGTTCATAACTGATTTAATGCTCTCAGTAAACCACAGTATTAGTAGAAGCGGGAGGGTGTGCATACCGGGTTGTGTCGTATGGGACGACAGCAGGGGCAGGGAACTGGCTGCGGGGTTGAGGAGCCACAACAGACCGCCCCGCCGTCGGAAGCTTCACTCCATATAGACTGTATGACTCATCGATTAGCTCGGTGTCACTACCAACACAAGCAGTAAGTGAGACATACACACACAAAGCAATGTTATGGGACCAAAGAAGACAAGTCCACTTTTATACACAGAACCTACACAAACCACAGATATGACACCAAGGCTGCACATAAAAAATCTTGTGAGCATGCACATATTATCAAAATGTTATTAAGCCATGTGCTCCTGGGTTAAAGCAAGTGGTCTTCATGGAGCCAATCTGCCTCACTGTGTGATCTGATTCTTTCAGTTCACATCCTTCACAGAACTAGCTATGAAAATAAGAACAGACTCTAAAACATAAATTCAAGGCTCATATTTGTTTTGACATTCTTTACACACAGAATTCTACATAATACATTGTGAGAAGCACATTTCAAAATTTTTTAATAAATTTAAAATTGCTCTAAATATAATTATGAATCTTAGTGATATCTACATTTTATATCAGGTGGGTCTGTTAATGAATTCAATACAAAGATTGAAGTTCAGCACTAGAACTGTATTGTCGTTGTGAAGGCTAATAAATCCCCCTTGCTAGTAATTTTTTTGACATATTCAACATATGTCACACTGAGCCACCCAACTCCTTACAATGAATATTTGCACTGCAAAGTTACAATACACCTTCTTTCCCAAATGTAAACAAGTTTTAGTTTGCATATCTTGTAAGAGTAAGCAGGGTTGTATGACTGGTGTTGAAGCTGTTGAATTATAGTAATGATGGCAAGATGGTTGTTGTAAGCAGGACACAACTACTGGCAACATATACAGCAGCAACAAACTTTCAGTCACTTATCCATTTCACGTTCTATGTCACATGCAGAAAAACAAATTCATACTAGACTTAAATTTAATGTATAAGCCAGCCTTCATAAGAAGCTCCTGAAAACATTCCTTAAATTCAATTCAATTCAATTTATTTTTGTTCATCAGATCTCCATTTGGCAATGGCGCCTCCAGATATAGAACATGTCAAAGCCCAAGTTACTATAAAATCAATCCAGAGGACGTCATAAAGATATTACAACTTATATACAACCATTGTTGCAATAACTACTGATATGCATTCTGACTTAAAAAAAATCAGAACATCTAGAGAAAATATGAAACCTGTAACACAATTTCCAGTCTTTAAGAATACCTGGCATTAGATCTGTTGTAATTTATTACAACGTATCACCAAACATGAGCAACGAAGTATATACACCAAAGGATATGTAAGGTAAAGTAAAGCTCTCCTTGTAACAGGACATGGAGGCCAATATAGTTGTGAGACATAGAGGTTCCCACATTTTCTTGGACAATCAGCTTACGTATGGCAGTGAGGTTGTCAGCCTTAAGTGCCAGCCACCCTTTATCCCCAGGAAGATTCCTGGTACTCACTTCTGTTAGAGGCTGGGTCCACCCCAGGGCCATAGTGCGGCTGGAAGGATTAGGTCAATTGAGAAATCCAATGGCCTTATTGGGAATCAAACCTGTGACCTTCTAGCTTGTAGCAGTGCCTCAAGCAACTATGCTACCACAACCCAACCTCTGTAGTCAAATGAACAAGTCCATGTGTATCCTACAAGAAGGGAAAGAGAACATGCCTGTGCCCAAAGCCTGGGTACGAGATGATGATTGAGCATTCTAAATTCAAGGCTTGAAGAGCAAACACTCGTTGCAACCACCCTTGCCATCTGAATCAAATATGCATGCATTTCTGACTACTTTTCAGAGCTTAATGATTAATCATGCACAAATCTAATATGCAAGTGTCAGCCCATGTGTCTTTTAATTTCTTTTTGCACTAGCAGATGGCATGGAGACATGAAACTCAGTACCCATATGACACACAGAACAAGAAGCTGTGACCTATTTCAAGAAACAGATCAGAGTTTTCAAAACTGAATACGGTGATTCAAAATGGGTCTAATTCAGATTTCACATTCACCACACTCTGTCATGTCTATAAATATGCGACACTCAGAATTAGTAAGTATTCATTTTTAGCCATAAGGGTAATCACTATTTTGTGATAGGGAGCCAAAAAATAATGAACACACTGAATGTGTCAGGGCATACTTTAAAACATTCAAAATGTTAGGAAATCCTTTATTTTAATTTAATACTGTCAAGATCTCATTCAAAACGGTAATTCTAGTAAATTATGACAACATTTAGAAGGAACTACTAATTTCCATTCTAGAATTAATACATTCAGTGTGTTAACAGAACACACTGTTTTAACAAGTGTTCAATCTGAGGATCGTAATTTGTATAAATTTTATTTAAAAAACATCAGGGCTGTAAAGATATCAACAAATGCATCTACACTGGATGTGATATTCTCAGGCTGGTGACTATGACAAGAAGCTAAGCCAGCTTTCCGCCCACTTCTGCAGCCTCTTCCTTGGGCTTAATCTTTGCCATCGAAGATAGAGGTGGTATGTTCCTATGAAACTCTAGGTTCTCTCCAAATTACATGGCGTTACAATCCAAAATACCATATTATTCAAAAGCACAGATATTCATAACATAAAACTGGTGGCATGAAACACACACACACACATATGCACATATAAGCATGTGGAAGCCACAGTACTAATTACTGTTTACAACAGAACTTCACGAAACACCCACCAAAGACATATCGATATTTCAAACAAAACAGGTATATGACATTCACAGTACAACATTCTTCCTCTCTGCAAATCAAGGTATTTCTTACAACCTCTCCTTCCATGAACATTCGTGTGTCATGCAGAATTATATCCATAGTGGAATGACCTTACATGCTATAACACACAATTCACAGCAGAAAAATATGGTGACTAGATTTGTTCATGTATAAAGAACAGAAACAACATCACATAACTTTTACATCAATTGACTTCTTTCTGACAAGACACAAAGCCTGCTCACCTTGCCTCTTCATCAATGACAGGTGTTATTGAGCCAGATCGTGATGCATACTGGCTGTAGTATGGGTCCTCATAACCTGGCCCTCCAGGGGGGTATGCAGCAGCTGGGTAGGCCCTCGGACCCCCTCTCTCTGGGGAAGACATGTACCCACTCTCTGAATGAAGACGATCTGAAGACAAAAACAGCAGATTCAAGTATTTGGTTCCTCCATAATGACAACTTCTGCTTACTGTAGTACTGCATGTGCCAACAGTAAGTACCAACTCCAGTTGCTGCTTTCACAATTATGACTAAAAATACTTAAGTAAACTTCATAAACATGAATATAAAATGTACCTAATTATGATACACTGCACACCTGGCCAACCTTGAATAGAAAAAGAATTAACAAGTCTGTTGGAATTTAACTCCAATTTTGCATCATTTACAGCAGTCTCCAATGTTGAATACTTCATGAAATTCCATATGAAGAAGTGAGGTTTCCATAGTAATGACAATGCATATTGTGATGTAGTTGATTATGACATCATGTAGGTTGATAGGTACTTACCAGTGTTTCTGAGGAATATATTGCCTCCACCTTCAGGACACAAGACAGAGGCAATATGTTACTCCAAAACGCTAGTAACCATATATCTGATTGTATGGTGCCATAACCTGTAAGATCATAACATGAATGCTGTATCAGGATTTTTCCAGTGCCTTGTTTCTAGTACAGTGAGCAAACAGAATATCAGTTCATTTTCATGATGATAAGTGGCGAACTACTGATAGATATAAAAGTATGTAAAATTTGCAATATTATATTTCAGCATCCTGTTACACTCACACAATATATATGGACAAATACCGTCTTAAGTGCAACAATTTTATTGTAGTAAAGAAGTAAAAACTACAATAAAATTGTTGCACTTAAGACGGTATTTGTCCATATATATTGTAAAATTTGGTTGGCATGAAGACCATAAGAATGAATATAAATTTCTGGTATAGATATTGTTTTGTCAGACGTGAAACATGACATCTGGGTAAATCTATGAGGACGTGATTAGAAGGTCTGAAATACTGGCAACATAATGTAGCATATTTTTAGCATACTTCATTCTGGAAAAAAAAAAAAAACTGTTTTCTTAAACCTGACACCAAAAATATCAAGGAATGGGTGAGAATGGTCTCATTTCATGCAGATTTTCAGTGGCTCATACACATGTATTTTGCTTGTTAACGTAGTCATTCTGAAGAAAAAGGGCCTCACCTTATGCTTTCACAATCAGGGGACGTTTCTCAAAAAATGCAGATAGTGCTAACAAATGTCAAACTACTTATATTTAATGCCCTACCAAAGGACTGCTGAATATGAATTCTGCACAGAAACAATTCTGCACTGTTTCAAAAAGTCCTGCATGTTGACAATTTCCATTAAGTCTAGGTACTGAGACATATCTAGCATTCTTCAAGGCCTTGTGTCAGTGCTTGCTGAACATGTGCCATGGTCTTTCATGTTCTCAATGTCTTCTTTTTCCAACAGTACCATTCTTATTGTTAACAAAGGTCCCAGTCATTTCAAACCTGTTAAGGAATTTGTTTATTTTCAAACAAAACTATTAATGTCAAGGAGCAAAGTCCTTCTTGAGCAGCTAATTGTCATTCGGCTAGTCAAGAAATTCCTGGCCTTTTACAGAACACAATGGTTCAGTACTTGCTTACAGCTTCCCTGCACCAAAACTATAATGAAACTTCATGATAAAGTTCAATAACACTCGTGGTCTAGCAAATTCTTTTCACTAAATACAAATGCTCTTCTGTTGGGTATGCCATTTTGTTCCGCATTACTTCATGATAGTTCTACTATGCACAACTCAGTGGTGGAGCTACACCCTCAACTTCCCATTTGCCTTCATGACATGGTGCTTAATTAAGAACAGAGACAACTTTACTTTTACAACTAAAGTCTCATATAACCAATGACACACACCACACACAATATTTGCCACATTACAGTTGAGTTTCCCAGAGCAATGTCTACAACCTTCTGGGATGTAATTCTGTTTAGTCCAGTACTAGTTCACCAACACTTCAGAGGAGCTCACTGTATCCACCTTCATGATCAAAGAGTAAGCCAAACATGAAACCAGCCAGAAGCAGATGGAAACCATGCCAGTTTCTTGAATGGATTACTCTTCTGTCCTAAAGATGGAGGCAGCACAATCCTCCAAAATGTTGGTGAACGTCCACAGAACTGCATGGCATTACATACTAGAAGGTAGTATTCTGCAATATTTGTCGCGTTTTTCAGTAAATAAATACAATTAAAACTGTACAGTCTGTTTGGAAGGGTCTGGTAAGTAAACAAAATAAATAACCAAACAAATGTAACACAAAACAGGAAAGCCAATAACACTGTGGTGTTGTCATGCCTCAACTACTGAGACTTGCGGCAAATTTTCTATGGTCTACAACTGACCTTCCAATGAGAGGAGGTTGGCCTGTGAATTCCCTTGGCAAACTGAATGGCCATATAGCAGGATTGGGGCCAGAGGACCCCCTATAGCAGTTCCCTTCACCATGAGGGTGCCCACCCCTTGTTGGTATGACCTCACATGTTTAAGAAATGGATGAACCCCTTCAAAAAGTAACAAAACAATGAAGGGACAGAGACAGAGTTTCCAAATTTGCATTCCTGAGGAGAAAGTTATTCCAAAGCAAACAAAAATGAGCTTTTTATTCTCAGGCTTGATCTATTCGGGTTTCAGTTACAATGTAGATGAGAAAATAACACAAACTGCACAGATTTCACATATTCTCTGTTGGTTAGTAAGGTTGCAATGAACTGTTACAGATATGTATTAGAATGTATCCTCACTCCTGACAAGAAGTGCTGAAGAGAATTACTGTAAGGAAAAGTCCACAGTCATTACCCTGAAATTTAATTTATCAAGTTTTCCATACAAGGTTGGGAAAGAATACAGTGTGTCATAAATTGGAAAGTTTGCAACAGTAATATATCCTGCCTTCAGTCTTTCATAACACAGCTGAGACAGCAGAAATTTGAGAAGCCAATAACAAAAAGCAGTTCCTGAACTTATTTTCCTATTAATGTAAACATAACCAAAGTAAAACTGTCAGCACTACTCCCTTCCTAAGACTGAACAAAGTAAGTTCCAAAATAGTGGTCACTTCCAGGGAGTAAACAAAACTCTTCTCTAGCAAGATTTATTGTCCTTAAGACAGCTAAACAGGTCTGGCTGTAAGTTAGTAAACAAATTATCCATTCCACAATTACACAATTTTTGCATGTTCCAACAGTTAATAGCACTGCTACTCCAAGATACTCGTATTCTGTTCTGCTGCAGGCATGAGAAAGTTTTGAATATGCAAACTTGCATCTGTGGAATCAGGGTCAGGGGTCAAGAGAAGGCTGTTAAGAAAGATATTTTTTTCATCTTCACAGGCCAACATCCATCGCTGTCAAACTGAGTTATGCCTTCTGAATACAAAATAATCTTTAAGATTGTAAATGTCAAAGGTAAAGCCACACATATATGATTATTTTAAATCCCCACATATGTAACTGTCATGTTTCATCAGTCAGTCAGTTAACAATGATAATGATGGTGACAATGACATATGGTTACCACTGAGAAAAATAATGTACCCAAGCAGTCAACTAAAAACACATGTCCTTTCAGAACTGTATAAGATGTTAAATACCACTGATTATTATGCTTTCCCAAGAAATCTCTCTCATTTAATAACACAGTAACATGGAACGTACAATAAAGAAAACAAAGGTACCAGTCTGGTGTCCATCTGTAAAGTTTCTTTAGCTGAAGAGCCACTGAATCAGGATCCCTTAAGATCACATCCTTTAAGATCAATGTGAAATATGTAACAAACGTGATCTGTTCAAAAAGTTTCGGAATTATATTTTTACAATTTTTCGGACATGCCTGCAACTGAGTGAGCCTTACTGCCTTCAAATTACTCCCTTCCTGCATTGTTGCACCACTCCCAATGTCATGGCCACTTCTGGAAACAGTCCTGGTATGCCTTTTTCAGGATCGCATGTAGCTTCATCTGAAAATTTTTCGTAATCTCTTGAATCATCTGATATCATCTTTTCGAAGTGGATTTCAGTTTGGGAAATAAGAGCCAGAGCCAGGTAAGGTGAGAAGGGTGGCTGAGGAAGCACAGTTATATTCGTTTTGGCAAAAAAGTCACAAATCAGTAGCGATGCATGAGCTGGCGAATTGTCATGACGGAGGAACCAAGAGTAGTTTCTCCACAACTGATGTCTTTTTATTGTCACACTCTCTTAGACGTTTCTGCACTTCGAGATAATACCAGAAACTCACTGTTTGCCACTGATATAATAATTCATAGTACACAACACCCTCGATTTAAAAAACCATCAACATCACTTTCACATACGATGTGATCTGCCTTTTTTGGTCTCGGTGAATTTTTTCCAATCCACAGTAAAGGATTCATTTTCATTTCCACATCCTATTCACAGACCCATGTTTCATCGCCAGTTATAATTCTTTTCAGAAAGTTTTGATCCTCGCTAACGTGTTCCAAAGGTTCTTGAGAGATGGCAATACGACTGTCTCTCTGATCCTGTGTCAGAAGTTGTGGAAAAAACTTTGAAACTACCTGATGCATTTCTAATTTTGTCATAAGAATGTCATGACATGATCCTATCGATATGTTGCACTCTTCTGCTATTTCCTGCACTGTCAAACAATGATTAGAATGCACAATTTCATGAACTTGAGCAACAAGAGCATTGTCACATAACGCTGAGGGCCATCCCAAACATGGCTCATCATGTGTTGCCTGCCGACCATCCTTAAATTGCCTAAGCCATTCATAACAACCTGTATGGCTCATGCATTTATCACCAAAAACGTTTTTTATCATTTCATGAATCTCCACAAACGTCGCTCTAGTTTGAAGCAAAATTTAATGTTAATATGCTGTTCATGAATATTAACCATCTCAAATATTGCAAGGCACACTCTACATGCACGTGAACAAATGACTCTAGGGCAATGACTAATCACAGAAGTATGACGCAGCAAAAAGGATGAATATTAGGAAGCACGCCACTAGGCAGCACAACTTATCAGGCATTGTTAAGAAGTCGAGTTGGTGCGCTATTTAAAAAATTACACAACTTTCCGAACAGACCACATAGTATAATACAGGGTGGGGTGCAGAAACTTCCTTTTTGTGAAGACGCATTGTGAAGGGAGGGGAGGTCACAGAAAAGTGGGGACAGGCTCGATGAATGCAGCAGTCGCGGAAGTTTCTGTCTAATACCCCTCAGTAGGAAACATGAGGTGGACGAGTGAGCAGCGTGTGTTTGCTGTTGAAGCCTATTTTTCGAACAACCATTCCTACGTGGCGGTGCTGCATGCGTTCCATACTCACTTCGGAATTAAGCACAGAGGTCCAGTTTCAGACCAGAAACTGATTGTTTGTGGGTAGAGAACTTTAGGACAAGTGGGAGTGTGGTGAAAAAATCATCAGGACAACGGACCGTTGCGACACCAGAAAATGTGGAGGCAGTTCGACAGTCAATTTTGAGATCTCCAAGACCCTCTGCTCGCAAACAGGCAGTCGCCCTAGACATATCCAATCGTTCAATGCGCCGAATTCTTCACGAACATCTTCATTTCCATCCCTATAAGATGGTTGTTGTGCAAGAACTGTCACCACATGATTCCCAGAACCGAATAATGGCGTGTGAAACATTATTGGAAACGTATGTAAGATTTGAGGCTTTCACGGCGGTGACTATGAAGAAAGCAGTCTTCTGGGATT